TTATTCTGTCGATTGATATCAATTGATATGGATAATCAACTGACACGTTTTATGATGGACGGAGACGACTGCATGGACGTCGATGCGGCTGACAGCCTCGGCAACGTTGCTGGCGACATGTCGACTGGCTTGGTGCAAAGCAAGGTGCTGAAAAAGTCATTTATTCGATCGGATTTCACCAAAGCTGGTCAATCCATTTCTGCCACCACCACCACCACCGCCACCACCACCTTGCCCACACCCACCTCCACCCCTTCTCCGTCTGACACTGGTGCCACTGCTATTGCCACTGCCAACCTTGACCAGGAGTGCACTCGCCATGTTGTTGTGACCATGGTTGATGATGCCTGCAAGGGCTCCTTATCTTTTGCGAAATGGGGTGACTTTGCTCGGAAATGTGACATCAAGGCACTGTGCCCGACCATTACCACCATGTTGGCCAAATTCGAGCTGAACGAGCTGCAGCACATGGCCTTTGTCATGTTTGCTGTGCCCCTCCTCGATATTTTTGCTGGTGGCAAGACCACGGCCAGTCTGGACAACACTTCTGACCTCTGCAACATCGTCTACTGCAGGGGGCTTTGTTCTGACTGGACCTGGAGGCACAGACAAGTCGCGTGTCAATGACACAATCGTGTTTTGGCCAAGCAATGGGGCTGGCAACAAGCGGCCTTGGTGCTCAGGACGACTGGGATCGCCACCACCAACATTTGCAGCTGCACGGTTCATTCCGCATTCAGGCTTGGGCTGGGCACGTTGGTTGGCAGTGTTTTCAGCAACTGGGGCAAGAAGACTGACGACCCTGTGCAAGGTATTTGGCGTGCTTGTCATGCCATTATCATCGACGAGGCGAGCATGACAAGGCTGTTTTATTTTATTTCTTTTCCTTGGTCGTTTGCTGAATACTCAACCAATTTAACTGCAGACTGCGTGCTGCTGAGCACAGTTGACGACCGCCTCTGGATTGTGCATGGCAAGTCAGATGTTCCCTTTGGTGGTGCTCTTGTCCTGCTGGCCAGTGGCTTTCTCCAGTTGCCCCCTGTCACTGGCACCCCCCTGTTCAGCACGACCATTCCCTCTGCCAGCAGTGCCGCCATTGCCCATGGCCACATGATTTTCAAAGGCATCTGCCAATGCATTTCGCTGGTGGAGTCAATGTGCTTCTGCAGCAGCCTGGACTGGGGTGCCATGCTTGCTGACACGTGGGTTGGGAACTGGACCAATGCGATCCGCAAGATGCTGAGGAGATGCCTCGCTGCAATGATCGAGGACAAGGTGTGTCGATTGCTGTGCTTGCTGAGTTGCCCTGTGCCTGTGTTTATCACACCCAGCAACGCCCTCTGCCACTCGATTAACAACATGTCTATCAGTTTAAAGTGCAACAGGAAGGTATTCTACCTCCCTGTGTCTCTCACTGAGCAGCCCATTGAGCCAGTGCTGGTTGGCAAGGATATTGAAGAGGTGGGTGGGAGTGATGACATGATGGACATCAACAGTGATTTGAGCTTGAGTGAGGAGGAAGACGAGGTGGTTTGCCATCTGAGCCTCAGTGGAGGCAAATATGAGGGCTTTGACGTTGCACTGACTGCAGAGCAAGTCGTGCCAGTGGGGGTGCTGCTGCCTCCTCACCAGCATTTGCAACGTCACAAGTAAGTGTTTTTGATTTAAATATATTCTTGTCTTTTTGTTTTCTTTGGTGATTGAATAAACTGACAGCAGCCAGCAATCGTTTGAGAAAGCAAAGTGACCAAAAAAAAGATCAAGTATGGTGGATGAAATTCAAGAGCTCAAAATCAGAACACCTCCAATAAAACTAAAAACCAACCAGACTGGCAGCTCTCATCCACCCACAAGAACAAAGTGAAATCGGTCCAAAAATATTCAAATGGACAAATAAATACTTTCAAATGGATCACTTTTTTAGTTTAATGGGGTAATATTTTAGAAGCCAGCATTCGCCTGTGCATAGTTCATTTCTTATTTGTGGTCCTGCACCTAGCCCCTCACTTCAACATTGTCAATAATGCTACCACAATTAACCAGCTCCTGCATTGCAGCACCAACACCATGCTGACTGTGCAACAGAATCTTGCCTGGCCAAAGAGAGGCATACATTGACCAAATACGACATGGCCATGCTTGCCACGAATGAGTAACTGGATGTGGTGTGACTCTCACGAATTTGCTCAGTTGAGTGATGGTGTTGTGTTTTATAGGAGAAGCTTGGTAGCGGGAATTGGCCAGGCCATGGTTATATTCAAAGGTTTTTAAACCAGCTTTTTGAGCCAAGAGAGGAGATCGTTCTCACAGTACAACACCCTAACTTGTCTCCCCCATCCCTCACATATACTACAGTGCCACAACAGATGGTGTACTTGAGAAAGAGAGTGATTTTGAAGTACACTGTGCTGGTGGAGATGATGGGTTATTTCTCCCCAGCAGCCAGTGTGGATCAGTAATTAGTATATCAAATATTTTTGCGTTGATTCTTTGTCTTGACTATTCAGTAGAACGTTTGACACCAGCATTCAGCAATGCCAGCAAAAAATGGGAAAATGGAAAACCCAACGAAATCCAAAACTAAGGCCATCGACAGCGACAGGATTTGAACCTGTGCGGGCGGAGCCCAGTAGATTTCGAGTCTACCCCCTTAACCACTCGGGCACGCTGTCATGCTCCTGATGGGGCGCAGTTGGTCACCATTTGAGAGAGTTCTTTGTTCTTTTCCCATCTTTTCCCATCACGGCGTCTTGTGCCTTGTCAATACATCATTCTAGATCTCGGGCACGCTGTCAGGTGACTCTTCAACAATGTAGACACTAAGATTCAAATATATTAATTGATACTTCCTTTGGAAACAAACAGTGAAGGGCTATGCCCTACATGAACAAACAAAACAAAAAGCTCATCACAGCAGGCAAGTGTGCTGGGCAGCAGCCCTCAGCCTCCTTGTTGGACCTGTTTACTGTGGTGACCTCTTGATGCAACTGCTTCATGGTGGTGGCTTTGCAAGTGCAAGGCAAGGGTGGTCAGAAACAGATTGACAGAGCAAAGTAAATAAAGAGATTGCCAAGGGAGAACACCTCCAGTTTGCCTTTGTCATCATCTGCAATGAGGTCTGCCTGTGATGTTTGCTGTTCAGAGAGGCACTGCAATCTGGGTCAGTGGGAAAGACTAGGAGATTTCTGGCTTAATACAACTTGTATTTTAATCAATAGAAGTAACTTGCAACACAGAGCCCAGGACATGGCACTGGCTGCAAGTGTCCCTTTTGTACCTGCCATGGTCCCACTCTTCCACTGCCTTCAATAGTCAGGCAACCATGGCCAACATTCCACATGTGACGCCATGATCATCACACTGCCAGCTCCTGCTTGGCCAGCTTTGCCACCCTCACAAAGTTCTCTGCAGCAAACAAGATCACCAGCAGATCCTTTGTCACAGTGTGAACAGACACCAGCAATGCATCATGCCCAGGCAGGTTGGAGAGGCACTGCCGCCTGAAAAGGAGTCAAAAATGGATGAAAAACAGTGGTGTTTAGCCAGCAAGTGACTCATGACACAGAGCCCAGGATATGGCCCTGTTTGCAAGTACCCCTTTTATTATGCCAGCCCATGCTGGCAGCCCACATGGTTTGATGGCATTCCACAGTGCCACACCAATCACATGACCTCCCCACACATTCTACATGGTTCCATCCCATGTGACACCATGATCATCACACCCTGAACATGCTGACAATTTTGCCAAGCCTGACGAGTTTGCCAAGCCTGGTGATGAGGCTGCAGCCACCAAGGAAGATGCTGTCATAGTGTGTGGAATCACCTGCTGCCTGAGGAAATGATGGTGTAGCTGTTGAGTCAGCTGGTGCATTGTGTGCTGCTCACAGGCCTTTTTCAACTGGCACAGCTTGCTTTTCCATGAGTGGACCAATATTCTTTGAGTGCCAACAGTTTTGACATGCTGCAAAGTGCTTGAAATGCTCCTGGAACTGACAATGCTCCATTGCCACTTTTGATGTGTGGTTCTCTATCTTTGTTGATTGTGAGCACACATTTCATTTCTTACTTGGGCACAATCAACCAGTGGAATTTCAAGTTGTCAAGGTGGCTTTGATGGCCACACTCTTGCTCAAGCATGTTCTTAGTGTGTATGACCACTTTTTCCATTTCATTCAGTACATCTTTGCCAGACACATTGATCCATGCATCCTGAGTTGCAATGTGCACTTGGTTGGTTGGCTCCAAGGGGATTGCAGATGCTGCTGCCATCAATACTGTCCTATCTGAGAACCATTGTGATGCAGTTGCCTTCCTGGCTCATGTTTCATTGGTCGAAATGGTTCGACTGATGTTCTGCCTTGATCTATGAGGTGTGTATTCATATCAACTGCTTTCCTTTATTGCCTTGGAAAAACATGTGTGAACTCCAGGTGATCTCCAAGCCATTGTGCATTTGCAGCAACATAGCTTCAACATTGCCAAGTGTCACAGATGAAGTGAATGAGGTTGCTGAGGAGCAAAGTTATTTCAGTAGAATATATTGATTTTCCATTGACTTATCTTTTGCCTCTTCTTGAAAACTGATGGCAGCCAGCAATTGTTTGAGAAAGCAAAGTGGCCAAAAAAAAAAAACCCGTGTGTTGGCAACCATCAGGCATTTGATATGACAGCCCCACATGATGGTGCGCAACTAGAAGAACAGGAGAGCAACAGCATGGCGGATTGGACAAGCAGGAGCATGCGCAGTGACATGAAGTGTAAAGCACTATGAATGTAGTGCAGTGCAGCACTCATTGCAGGACAGCGTGCCCGAGTGGTTAAGGGGGTAGACTCGAAATCTACTGGGCTCCGCCCGCACAGGTTCAAATCCTGTCGCTGTCGGCTCTTCACAATTGAACTTTTTAACTCTAATTCTTCTCTTTTTTGGCAGTGTTATCAACAAGTTTTATAATTTCCCATTTCTCTTATTTTTTGAACCTGTTGCTCAATATACTAGACGTTTTATTGCAATTGTTGCTGGTTTTAAAGGATGGCTGTGCCATCTCTTGTCTCCAAACGTAATGTTGTGTCTCTCTGACTTCAAATCATCCCCAATCCATAACAAAAATTCAATATATCTCCCATCTGCCCAAAATAAACCCCTGGCAGCTTCCCAGCAAGAGAGTGTTTCAGGGTCTTTGTGAGCAAAAAAATTGCTGGTTCACCAGAGTTCAGCAATATCAGTTTTGGGGGAATGCAGTAATGTAAGGCCTAATCATTGCTCACATGCATAAAGGCCCTGGCACACAGAGACATGGCTTTTTTTTTTATTCCAAGCATGAATCCATGCTGACTCACATTGATTCGTGCAAAGGTAGTGGGATTGCGAAATGCCAAAAAAAACTGTCTCCGCATCGGGGAATCGAACCCCGGCCACTCCGGTGAAAGCGGAGGATCCTAACCTCTGGACCAATGCGGATGGTTTTACCAGACGTTTTTCACTTTCAAGCACATCTTGCTGACAGAGACTGCAAAGGGTTGCAGACTTGGAACACAGTTTGGAAATTCAAGAAGTCCATGTTCTGGAGGGTCTGTGCACAACAACTTTTCAAAGAATCAGATTGCAATGCCAATGCATTTTTTTCCCCTCCCACTTTGCTCCAAAGCACTTGGACTTGGACCATGCCAGCCACATTTTTATAGAGCTGCCAGTGTGGTGACCTTTTATCAAGCACAAGAAGTATGACCAACCTCAATGAATATTCATTCACTTCTGGGACTGTGCCCCCCCCCAACACAGATCTGAGGCTTTAAACCACCCTTGTGGCCCCTCAGCTCACAGCACACCACAACCATCTGTTGGATCACTAGTCATGGCAGTTTTTGTCTGTTTAAATGTGAAAAATTTCAAATAAAAAATAGCATCCAAGCATGATCTAGCACCTACCATGAGGGACAGATAACAACTGCCACAGCTCTTGGGCAACAAAATAGGTGGTCAGGCCACCCTTATTGCCCATGTCAGCAGGAGTACAGCATGTGAAATGGAGGCAAAGTGTTGGCCAGGCATATTCCAGGTAGGGCTGGTGTCACAATCCAACTGTAGTGTAGTGGGTTGCAATCTGACAGTTTATCAAGGCTCTCTGCTAACAATAAATCTATCTCCATCACCATATATTCTCGTACTACCTCATACCCTTGGTCCTGACACACCTCAACCATTACAGCTGGGCACTAGCAGCCAGAGTGGTAACAAAAATAAAAGTCCAAGCTGGTGCCCTAAATGGCTGGCAATGGCAGAGACGCAGTCCCAGCATGTGCAGGGGGCAAAAGATAATGTTTTCTAATAGGGGATTGTTGTAAGCTGAGAGAAAAGGTTGGAATGCAAACACCTAAAATCTGTTCTGTTCAGACCAGTTCGGAACACAAATCTCCTCTTGCTGTGTTCCAATCATCTGTTCTGGTGTTTTTACTGTGTGTACACAGCCACTAATGAACAAAAGAGTAAAAGTTGCCTTAATTTTGGTTTTCATTGCCATAAATGGAATGATTAATGTGGATAAATCGCATGAAAACTGCAAATAAATTACAGATGTATCCCATGCAGTACAATATCTGTGAAGTTGCCATCTGCCAGGTTTACAAGGCCACTGTGAGACTGAAAGGAGATTTCAACAGAGATGATCCTGGCCCAGTGAACTGGGGCTGCAGCATTGGTGTCTGCCCTGTGAAACTTTGTCCACAATATGAGCCTGCTCTTTGATATCCTGCAGCTGAGTCATATAAAAAAATGGCAGATCAATTGGGCATTATTGGAATCAATTGACTTGGCAGTGGCAGGGAAGTGGTACTAGGACACCCAGGGATGGGATTTTTATTTTATTTAAACTTGGAATATAACCACAGCCCAGCCAATTCTTGTGACCATGCTTCATTTTTACAACA